GAAAAGCTACTTTACACCTCAACAGCTTCTCATGATCTACAAAGCGCAGATACGGCCTGTTCTAGAATACCGTTCCCACATATGGGGTTCAGCACCAAAACATACGCTGATGCTCTTAGATTCGATCCAGAGGAGAGTCATTCGTCTAGTGGTTGACGCCACACTCACTCACTCTTTGACATCATTGGAACACCGTAGAAAGTTCGGCGACGTTTCACTTTTCTATCGATTCTTCCATGGGAAATATTCTTCTGAAATCTCTGCTATCATTCCTTCACTAGCAATACCAATCAAACGAACTAGACAAGCTGAGTCAGCACATCCTTTCGTTGTCAACTTCGAAAGATGTCGAACAGCACTTTATCAAAATTCCTTCATCCATAGAACGGCTAGGCTCTGGAATTCATTGCCTGAGGAAGTATTCTCAACAGCAAATAATCTCCAGTATTTCAAAAAAAATTCCAATATGTACCTCCTGTCGTTATCCTCCCTAGGAACGCACGATGTTCTTTAAACATTATAGGGATTTCCTTTCGTGCGCTCCAAGCGATAACAAATTTTTTTTACAGTTTTTGACGGACCAAGAATATTATCTAACCATGATCTGACACTGGCAGTCGTTCCTATGGGTAAATGATATTTTTCATCAACAAAAGGCAATTTGGTAAACTTCCTTCCTACCATATTCCAAAATCAGTCCCCAAATAGTTCAAAAGTTACAACACTGGCCATTTTGTATGCATCTCTCTGTAATGAGATGATCAATATGAAAGTTATGTAATCAATTCAATAGCAGCTCAATCTCTTTGAACCAGAAAATCTATCGTAAGACTCGCATCTGTGTTGAGGAATAGAGAATTCTCCTAGGAATGGTTCTTAGCGTAGATAGGCAATTTCGATAATCTTTTTCGGAAATTGTTAGTAGTGACTCATACAGGGTGAAAATTTGGAAACGAACAGCACCCAATATTTCTTCAACTGATGACCCTTTTGAGGTATTTAGTGTTTCCTGTTCAACTCACCTGGTTTCTCTTGAAATTCTGATGTGATTATAAATTTGTTTCATTTTCTCTTTCTCAAAATGACGATACTTTTAAATCACGAATTTTCGGATTGTGATTGTGATTATCAATTGATGAATTAATTATTGACTATATTAATTAATAGAAGAGGTGACATATAGACCTGAAAAATCAAATAATGAATTGTTCGAGATGGTTCAAATTGTTTTGTAAGCATTGGTGTTTTGCTTAGGATTACTAGTTCAGCATAACTGGGTAACGAGTTCTGATCACTCATTAACCTTCAGTACCTAGAATTCTTCAAGAAATATATATGTTCAGGGATTGTTGTGCTGTAGAGTAATAAAAAGTTAACTCATTTCAATCAATGAATTCCAATTATCAGACACTTCTCGTTTGGAAAGATAAGATATTCAACAGAGAGGATAAAATGATAAAACCATTGTCAAAAAATAAACAATACATATTTGTGAGTAAAACCGATCGCATTGTTCTTATCTTTGTAGATAATACCATGACAGAATACTCAAGCAAGAACACTACCTCATCGGAATCGTCGATATCATCAAATTCCATATCTCAACTTTCATATACCTACTTGATACTAGGTGGATGAAAATAGAATCACATTCATTTCTTTTTATACAGGATTCTCGGATTCCATGAATGGACTTCTATTAAACAGATATTCATATTATATCTATGAAAACTGGTAGTTGTTTTAGTGGGAGTAAAGCACGTTCGCATGTCATCAATTAGGTGCCCCTTCTTGCAAGCCTCCATGTGTGAAGATTGATTCGCTTGAGAGAGATGACTTACAGTCATATCGAGTTCAGTCTATCAGTTCTCTCCTAGATTGTACTCACTACTGTATGCTGCAGTGTCAGGCCTTGCACCTGATTTCAAGCCTGTGAGAGCATCCCTGAGTAGCATGAGCCCGCTCTGGCGCTCAGCTAGTTATTTTGACGCCGTGTCTAAAACTACGCTCACATGGATCATGTTTTCAGAATTCCTCTACGCCAAATGCGTCATGAAGTATCGACCTAAATGTTCCGCGTGAATCTGTTCCCCTTGATTAGCTCACGCTAATTTTGCGTGAAATAATACCCTTATGATCAATCCACACTTATTTCATTGCTTGGATTATTCCCTTATGATCAATCCATGCTAATGTCGCATAAAGCATTTCCTTATTATTGATCCATAGTAGTTTCGCGTGGATGATGAATCCAACTAATATTATACATATTCTTTCTTATGTATATGACTGACAAAATACTCTTCAAGCAATAGCGCTGTTATTCATGATCCAATTCTGAAAAACGATAAAGCAAATAATATGACCCATCAGATACTTCAACTCGAACGATAACAACTGCCAACTCTTCCTTGGATGGCACCATGAGGTAGCGTATAAGAGTATTTCTTTTTTTTATAAAGTATAAAGAAATTTATTTTTGCATCACATTCTTCATCGGGTCATTGAACATGCAATCTGCCACTTTCGCAATTAAGACTTCGTTACGTTAGAAGAATTATCTATTGAAAACGAATGATAATCATCATAAGCTGTTTGAAAATGTAGAACGAATGTCACACTAACAGCTCATGGCCATAGTTGATTCTGGGACATCTACCGCCACGTTCAATGACTCAATGGAACAAGTATTGAAAACCCCCTTTTCTCAACTGATTTTGTGCGAAACTCGAATAATTTGACAGTCCTTGTTGTTAAAGTTCCAATTCGGATTACATCATTAGTGTCAGCTTGTACTGTCTGATGAATCATTTCACCGTCATGATTAATGCATATTCATAACAACAAAATATATATCAGCGTGAATTATCTCCACGCAAAACTACCATGAATCAATCATGAGGGAACTCCCCACGAAAAAAAGCGTGGATTTATCATGAGGGAATGCTCCAAGCATAATTAACATGGATTTTCCACTTGGGAAAAATCCAAGGGAAAGATTAACGTCACTACTCCATGACGCATTCCTCGTGAAAAAATTCTGATAACAAGATCCACGTTAGCATAGTTCTAGACATGGTCTTGTGTTGAAGCGCCTTCAATGTACACCTCTCTACTATTTTCCAGATGCAGAAAATCACGTTATCATTTTTTACACTATATTCGATGTGGACATTGTCACTTACTATATTCTGTAAAAAATGCGCTACTTCTCGTCAAGTAGGGTGCCAATTATCTCCATACTATTCTCAGAGTCCTCCGAGTTCTAAGTTATGGTCTTACTTATGCTTGACTGCCGCAGGTGACTCATCTCTGCTACCAACGATAGTTTTGGTGTGGGTTGCCTTTCAATTCCGACTACAATTTGAGCACCCACGTGGCCATTGCCTTCTGGAAGATGCGATTGCATTGCATTCAAAGATATTTTTTTTTTATTTCTTCCTAGAACCACGTGTTCATAACAAGATTTCACTTGAAATTGAAGAAAATTAACTCCATAAAGATATTCGGAAAAGAAATGAAGAAATTGCTACTGAGCAATAACGGGCTTCATACTCACCGAGTAATAGATCTGGAAAGTATTTCGGAACTATAAAATATATTCTTTTTTATATTGATAGGTAAAAAAACTTTATTATTCTTTGAGTGATTGATTTTTTTTCTCATATATCTCTCTATATTTTTTTTATGTTGATAGGTAGAAAAACTTCATTTTTCTTTTAGTGATTAATTTTTTCCTCATGTATCTTTTTCTTGATTCGTCTTTATGTGAATAATTTCAATTACCCCTTTATATTTTCATCATCATAATTGTATGGGTCGTACCGTAGTTGATAAATGGCAAAAATAATGCTTTTTTCTCAGAAACTCTCGAGTGGATATGCACCACAGACAAGGTCAATCAAGTGAATTCTTGTGGTACCTATTCTACTCGTGTGCCTCTAGAATGAAGATCAATAAAACAAAATTCATACAACATCAATATCCTTTATTTTATAATACTGGTCATCATGCACAAGTTGCAAGCAGCAACTTTTAGTGAGCATTTTTCCATTCACATTCAATACGTTTCGTCCTTACTATCTTTATGTGTGTCTTTATGATAAATGAATATTATTATTTTATTCTTATTAGTTGCCACTACCCAACGTACCATTTTGAAATCATATTTCTGAAGCCTTTGTACCCAAAGAGCTACTTGACCTCCGAGGTTGTTGAGATCCAGGAGTCACTTCAATGCAGCATGATCCATCCTGAGTAGAAACTTTCGACCATAGTGGTACTCATAAAAGTGTTTCACTGATTCGACCATTGCCACAACTTTCCTCCTGGTGAACCAGTAGCTTCGTTCTGCCTTCGATTACACCTCGGTGAAGTAACCGATGACTCGCTCCTGCCCATCTTGATGCTTCGAAAAGACTTCTTCAATGCCAACATTGTTGGCGTCTGTGTCAAGAATGAACTGTCCCTGTGGAAGTGAATACCAGAGAGTTGATATCGTCGTCGAGTGGTCCTTCAGAGTATCAAAGGCGGCCTGGTATTCTTTGTCCATCCTCCTCGCCATGATTTCAGGGTTTCATCATGATGAGACTGTACCGTTCCAACATCTCCAGAAAAATAACTGCTTATATTTTCTTGCTTCATTTTGTAGTTGAACGTCCTCTGCTGACTTAATTCTTGCTGATATCTCCATCCGTCGATGTAGGATGATCACCTTGACACCAACCTCAATTTTCCTGCTTCTGAGGTCCAATTGGATCCCTGGCGCACCCACGATTCATCTATTTCCAGAATAACAATAATTATTCCTCCATCCTGATACTTGAGAGCAATTCAATATACGATCTCGATGTAATAACAAAACACTCTCTTATTCTCAATTCATCTCATCAAGATAGGAGAAAGAAGATAAGATCTTATTTCGAACGACCGGCTCAACAATTAATCACACGAACCGATTTGATAGCTGCCTATAAAAACTGCATTGTATTTCACTCATCAGTTATGAAAGGTTATCATTAGAGTACTTATATATTTTATGTGTTTGGATGATGTTGTGCTAGTAAACAATTATAAAAAAATTTAGTAGACTATGTTGGCCTGCAGCAGATTCTTCAGTGTCAAAGTGCTATGCGTTTTCACTGCGGTCTTGACAATCATTTTTGCCGGAGTATTAGTTCTGGCGTTTTATGGAGTGCCTGTGATAATTGATAAAACTATACAGAATGTGAGTATTGACATCTTCCCTTTTTCGAGTGTTATGTGTGGATTTATTAAAATTATGCCACAATCTTATGTAGTGGCTTCGAGAAAACTGTATTTCAACTATAATTCATAAACTTTTGTGTTCATACGCCTATTTACGACAGTATTGGATTTAATAATTATAATTTTCTGTTGAGAAGCGAGATTCTTCTAGCTATGTATTTGATTATGAAGATAACCTGCAGTTCCACCTTCGGAATGGGAAAGTCTCAAATGATTAATTAATTTTTTCACTTGCATCATTGAATACATAATATATATATAGCTATGGTTTCGATACCTAATTATCCTGGTGAATAACATCTTGGAATACTCATGATAGGTAACTGTGAGTCGATACTATCTCAGAACTCTTGTGTCATCTTATGATTCCATTATGATGCCTAATGAAACGTATCAAGTGACTCCAAATTCAACATCAGCATTGATTGATTCGGTTTGTTTCATAATCTGACAAGAATGTGAGGTTCCAGTGAGTCTCTTGTTTGTTAGGGTGGGTGCCTTACAATTATTTCACCTACATTTCAAGTGTTTTATCCAATGAAAAGGGATGAATATTGCGAATGTTTTGTAAAATGGAGAGCCCCCTGGTAATATCTATGATGTTTCCTTGTAATTCGCATTGTTACCTTGCGAGACATGAATATGACACCCCAGGGATGTTTCTCTTCACTGGGTCCTGACACCTTCAATATTCTGGCATTGTCACTACTAGCTATGGTCCTACAGTGGTCGATACTTCCCCTTCTGAGTACAAGCATATCATTCAGGAGAGACATGAAGTAAGTAGAAATATAGAGATTCAGGGGCAGACCCACCTCGGAATCCCGCGAATACACTCTCACCCTCTTCTCGAAACGGTGATGCGCACAGTTGCACACAAATTTTTTTTTTTTCAGAAACGATGAGGGATAATTATTTGCGGTCAATAATATATCGAGAGGAAAAATCAAGCTTGAAGTTTTCCTCATCAAATGATGCATATGAAGTTAGAGATATCCATATGAAAAAAGGTTCCTGTTAGTGCTTTCAACATAAAAAATAAAAATTTCACCATAGGAGGGGATTCGGAATTCGATGTGAATATTTCAAGGACGTATTGTTGGGATCAAAATAAGACGTTTTCTTGATATAAACATGTATCCTAACATTTTCCTCCTCTGAGCTACAGCCCCTTGAGTTGGGGAAGAAAAAATTGGATTTACATTATTTTTGGAGCAATATGAAAATGGAGTATTATTTTAGTCACAATCTCAAATAATCTTTATATTTTACCTAACTTACAGTGGCTGTAGCTCGGAAGAGGTGCATTTTATGACACATGTTTATATAGAGAAAAAGTCTTATTTTGGTCCCAATGATATGTCTTCAAAATATACACATAAAATATTGAATCACCCTGTATAACTTGAGACAAACACGTTCAAATACCCATCATACAGACTGATGTTTTTTCAATATAAGTACTACTTTTACTCGAGAGGAAATGTAGGATATCATGCAATAAAAGTACACCATCAATTTATTTATTTTTTCAAATCAAAACCATCTAAGAGCATAACGGAAATAAACTCATCCACTCTGGAAATGTGATAAAACAAGTGTAAAATCAGGTAATTATGTGAATTTTCATTTCCTCATCAATTAACACTTGCATTCATCTTCACAAAACTGCATAATGGCATTTTATCATTATTTATGTTTCCAATTTCTCGCTTCAAATGGTTGTGCAGAGTAGTTTCCATGTGTTTCTACAATATTCATCACCATTTGGAGTGGGCACGATAATTTTAAATTATCACAACCGAATATCAGCTTCTTTATGATTGAAAACACCATATTATAATCAGTTGATTTCTAGAAATCCACTAATGTACAGTGTTTCCTCAATAGTATTACATATTACTTAATTCTCAGGTTGTGCAATAAAAATTCGAATGAAGCTTAGTATGCTGTACGGTATTGTTTATACAAAGATATATGAGGTGGTAGTATTGAATCAATAAACTCAGCCTCCATGAGTGATCTCATTTCCCAAAATTGAAAACAAACATCTACATTTCTTCTGTCTGGAAAAATGCAATATTATTACTTCATTCAATATACAGAATATGATGAAATATCGATGCACCATATACCTCATTGACTCGAAGGTTTCTGAAAGTTAGCAATTTCTTGATTTCTTTGCTCGAAAGTCTTTGAAACGATTTTTATCGATTCCAGTAGATTAGGCTGATGAATAGAAAAACGTAGTATGATATAGAAATTTGCTTAGAGCCGTTGGACAAACGAAAAATCCTAGTGCCCTGAGAATATGTGGATCGTTTTGTGAATACGAAGACTTCATAGCTTCCTGAGAACAAAAAATTTCATTTCTGCAGTTCCCAACATATTAGATGCTAATCTGTGGTAGAGATCCATAATACCTCAAAATACGTTCAAGATATTATATGGTACCGAATCCTTTCTATAGCAAACCTCAACTGGATTATTCACTCTAGATAATAAAATGATTGTCGTGAATAAAGAATATATGGGGGGTTATTAGAGAAATACATTTATCAATTAAGAGAAATTTTCCAGGATTGGTTGATAACATGGACGTATATCTTTGTTTATACGTCCATGCGTGATACAGTCAGACAAATCAATTTTTGACCCCATCATTAAAAATAATGATATTATCTTCGAGACTGAAAAAAATAGGCAGAATGGGTCAAGCGAAGTGAAATAATTTAAATCAGATGTTAATCAATTCAGTAAACTTCACGTTGTCCAGGAAATGAGAAAGAATTGTTCTATTTGATTTCTAACTACCTCAAAATCATGCCACTACCTGAGAATGAAGTAATAGGATGTAAAACTATTGAGGAAAAACTATATAATATCGAATTTCTAGGAATCAATTGAATATTACTGTGTATACAGCCATGAGGAAGCTGATACCCGGTAATACACTAATTTGGAATTATCGTGCCCTCTCCCAATAGGGATGGATATTGGGAGAAAAAAATGAAAACTACTCTGGACAACCATCTCAAACGACAAATCGAAACAGAAATAATTGATCAAATACCGATATGAAATTTTTCGAAGATGAATGCGAGTATTTTCTGATAAGGAAATGAAAATGTAATAATAATAATAATAATAATAATAATAATAATAATGGATTTTATTGACAGGTATAGGTGCATACAAAATAAATGAAAAATGATAGAGAGCTGAGAACTGTATACCTATCAAACGGCAGAATTCAAGTTCAGATCATTTCACCAGTGAAAGTGACGTAATCAGAACTTGCTCTTCCATTACATAATTAATTATGGAATGCTGCAATTAGCGTTGTCGTACCTGATTTAATACTCGTTTTAATATATTCTCAGAGTTGATAAGTTCATTTCTCAGCTCTCAGATAGTTTTGATTTGAAAAATATGGTGCACCTTTATTGTTAGATATATCCCACATTCCCTCTCGAATCCTAGTAGTATCTTGAAAAATCATCTGTTTGTATGATGGGTACCTGACATCAACTTTTTCCTCTCAAGTTATATACATATTTCCAATATTTATATTGAAATCACCAACAGGTACTTTATATAATTTTTCACGTATCATTCTAAGGAACGCATATGTGTTCGTACGCCACTGGAAGCCTTTCTTATATTGATATCTTCAACTTTATAAATATCATTTGATAGAGAAATCTTGTAGCTTGATTTTTTTTCTTGTTATGTTTTCCTTCACATTTTGCCGTTCAATAGTTATAAGAAAAAACGTAACAGCATAGAGTTCCCTCCTCTCATATTTTTTGTAGTGGGAGTTGACAATAGGATTTGAGATCGATCAAAAAATATGTGTCAGATGTAAAATTTCATTGCCCGTCGATTGGAGGAAACCACAAATATTCATCCCTCACCGTTTCTGAGAAAATAATATTTATAAGCAACTGTGCGCACCACCCTTTCTATAAAGAGGGTGGGGGTGTGTCCGCAGGTTTCCGAGGTGGGTCTGTCGCTGAATCTCTCAATTTCTACTTACTTCCTGCTTGTCCGAAAGCCTTCACTTGTACTCAATAGAAGGAGTATCTGATCATTTTTGCCCTCGTAGGTACTATACTATACAGTGTAAGTCAACATCGAAAATAGAACCGAACCTCGGAATAGGGTGAATAAGGTTTGATTTTGATGGGGGCAGAGGGCGTTCTCTTCGTAATTATCGCATGAATATCAGCGGCTACATCGTCTCATGTTCCGGTCATCTGCCTATTGATTGTTAATCAATTATCATAAACAAATTAGGTTTTTCGGCTGTGACGAGGGATGGAAGAGGCCAATTTGAATGCGTTAAAGCCCATTCTTCTTTCCATTACTTGTTATCTCACTTAACATAACTCCAGTCAATCTCTTTTCATTCATTGATTTTCATTAATCATTATGAACAAATTAGGCGTTTCATCTGTGATCGGGCTAAGAGGCCGATTTTCAGGCGCTTATCGACGTGCATCTCGCGATTGGAGGTGGAGTTGGTCCAGGATCAACTAAGACGACCTTCAATTATTGTTTATTGATTTGTATTCAATAGTTATGAATTAATTATACGTTATATTCTCGGTCGGGACTAGGACCAGCCGATTTTGACAGGGTAAACGGTGTTCTATATGAGTATCTCAAGACCAGCAGCACAGTTCCAGTAGGGATCCGAATGATCCTCATTAGTTAATTTTTTTTCAATTGATTATCAATTAAAAAGTGTACCCTCCATCTGTGGCCGGAACTTGAGACAGTTCTTTCACAGTACCCAAACAGTAAACACCATAAGCTTCCTAGCTGTGGTACTAGTGGATTCAATGACTCATATTTATAATTGTTTGGTCAGTTGTTATCAGTAAGTGCTAAAACACGACTAGGATGGAGGGTGTGAATACTGAAAAACATTGTTTAACTCGCGGTATCGACGTG